AATTATATTTATGCAAGAAATTTTGCCTTCTCAGCAAAAGGAATAGAGAACCTATTTTATTAGAGATGTGACAAACCCAAATTTTCAATAGTTCTGTGACAAACATGTAATTGGTCTTGGTATTTGCTGACCACAGAATAAAATAAATCTCAATCAGAGAAGGCAATCTGGGCAGCAAAACAGTTTTGCCACTCTGAAAGAACTACTGAGAAAGACCAGCAGGAGAGAGGCTAAAGTAATGTAAGGATGACTGGGAAAGGAGATGCAGTCAGCATGTTCCTAGGCTGCATAAAGCTGCCCCCAGAGTACACTTCACATCACAACTAGGCAGCAATGATTCCACTTTTCCTCTCTTTTCCTTCAGAAATATCTTTACAAGAAAAATACAATACTTAAATGAGAAGATGGGGTCTTTAATATCAATACACTAAGAGTATTTTTAAGCATCTGAGCAACTGCCAAAGAGCTACAGTATTTGAAAAATATAACACATGTCTGGTTTGGGGTTTATTCTTTAATTAGCAAAAATATAGCAAATGTATCCCAGAAGGTCTGCAGACAGTGTGACTGGTGTGTCCATTGGTTAAACAAGCTAAGAAGCATTTTAACTAGCAACTAGAAGGCTTATGTGATAGTATTACAATCTGAACTCCTCAGAGCCTTTGCAAAAAGCAACTGCTTTGTTTCAGAAGGTTTTTATCTGTACAGCAGATCATTCCCAAGGCAAGGCCCAAAGGTTAAAACTGTTAATATAAAGGAGAGAGAAACAAAACTTCTAATAAAGTATAATTTTGAAATTCTTGCTTCAGCTGAGTAACATGATACTGCATAATAGGAGTCATCTGTGCCTGTCTGGGAAGTAACAATAAGTTAGAAGAGATTTTAAAGCTTTGTTCACTACTCAATACTTAAAATGTTAAGTTGTCCTTGTGGTACTGAGCATTATTAATCTTATTAACACAAGAAGATTGAAAGCAGTAAGTTCTCCAGTGAAAGTTCAAGCTCATATGGAGAAAGGAAATAGTTAATTAACCCTAACCCTTGGACCATCTGACAAGGAGTATGTGGTGATCAGATCAAGCAAAACACTTCAGATATTAGCAGAGCAGTAAATTTTGACCACATGACCTAAGTCATGAGACTTCTGTACTTCCTTGTGATCTCAAGCAAGCACTAGACTTCTCTCACATACAACCTCATATATACATGTATAAATGTATCCAACTCATGTCTAAGAAATAACCAAGCAGTTGTTGACACCATATTGAAGCAACAAGTTTCAAGCACACATTTTTCCACCCATCTCCAAATGCAGAATTACAGTACACTGTTACACAACACCAGCACCAATACTGAACTGGAGATCAGCTGCCAAGTTTTCATGGGAAAAGATCCTCCAGAGTGGGTTGATAATCACATAACTAAGCACAAACCAGCTAAATCCTCTCATCAGCTGCACTTGAATATTTTTAGGGGTGGAAGGAGGGAAAATCTGTTTAGAATGGCACATCCACATACTTCTGAGAGTGAGCTCTCATCACCCACCTTGTCTCAATGAGGTAAGCAGTGTATGTTTCTTGTATGTTCATGGCATTCCTCCCAGTCCGTTTTTCAGCTTCTGAAACAGTGATTTCCATTTTCTTTGCCAAGCAGTCTTCCATCTTTTTAGAAGAGGAAAATAAAGATTCATGTAACATTAACCACACAAGGCAAAGGCTACTAACCCTGCCTCCCCTTCTCCAACACCACATTCATTCAAATAAGACAGGTCTCTATGGGATAAAGGCTTTGACAGTGTTTCACTTTATACCTATGTTCTGCATCACATTTGCAAGTGAAAACAGAAAACCTTTTTTGGGGAAAAAGAGAAGTCAACAAACTGACAACTTCAGGTACCAAAAACCTAGCCAGGAAGATACAAAGAAAAATACTTTTCCTTTCTGTAAGTAACACAGTAACCTTTTAAAAGAAACAAACAAACCAACCCCAGTACTTTCTATCCAAACACTTCCCAACTACCGGTGAATTCCTCCTCCAGGACACTCGGGACACACGTAACCACCTCTCCTCTTTCACAGGAAACAGAATACATCCGGACCCAGATGTTTTTCTTTTAATCTCTCAGAGGAGATCGTTATCATTTTACACATTGGCAGCCAGGAATCACTCAGGACCACACGCCCTCCCTGGAAAGGCAGAGCTGCACTGAGCAGGGAGGGAGATTCATTTCTGACATTAAGGGCGAGACAAAAAGATAACTGGTGGTAACAAATAATACCCTGACACTAGGGATGAGGACAGAGAGTGCACAAAGCTCTCTGACAGCGGCTGGAATGGGGCTGAAAGTAGAACCCCGCAGCTCAGAGGGTCGGGATGCAGTTTTCCCCCGGCTTGAAGGAGAAGCCCACAGCTCACAGGGTCTGGCTGCACAGTTTTCCCTCGGTTGGACGGAGAACCCCTTAGCTCAGAGGGTCGGGATGCAGTTTTCCCCCGGCTGGAAGGAGAACCCGCAGGTCAGAGGGTCGGGATGCAGTTTTCCCCGGCTGAAGGAGAACCCCTTAGCTCACAGGGTCGGGATGCAGTTTTCCCCCGGCTGGAAGGAGAACCCGCAGGTCAGAGGGTCGGGATGCAGTTTTCCCCGGCTGAAGGAGAACCCCTTAGCTCACAGGGTCGGGATGCAGTTTTCCCCCGGCTGAAGGAGAACCCCACAGCCCACAGGGTTGGGATGCAGTTTTCCCCCGGCTGAAGG